AGTTTTCAGTAACACATACATCAGTAATATTGTAAGACAACAAAAAATGGGGATTCGATTTATTTATGACATTAACCAATCTTTTTTATACAAGATCATTTTACATCAAGAAACATAGTAAACTAAGATGTGAGTTAACAACAAATGAAGTTTGTTATCTCGAAAATGATTTTAAAATTAAAAAAAAAATCGCCATTCGCCATATGGACCCTATTGCCTTCCCTAGCTTAACTTCGGAAAATAAAAACTAACAGATTTCTATGTCTTTAAGGATAATTCTCAAATCAGTGATACTATTTTATAAAATTGCCGTAATACTAAAAATCAGCAAAAAATACAAGATTACTGCGATACGAACTGATAAACCCTAAGAATTACTTGTGTCCAATTCTGCATTTCAGAGAACATTTTCCAATAAAAATTAATTTAATATTTACTTTGAACTGACGTCATAAAAGGAGGATTAATAAATAAATAATAAAAATGCTATATAATCAATATTTGAAGCTCTAAATTTAAAACTGGTGGCTTAAACTTATTTGCTACAGACAAAAAAGATCTATTTTGATATCCAAATACATTGATTAAATACATATGTATTTAATCAATGCCAAATATGTACAGATTAAAAAGCATGTCTCCAAACGATGAATTTTTGGTATTTTGAAAACACTTGTTACGAATTGTGAACTAACAAAATAGTTCTTTTCTTCTATTCTACATTTATATCTTATTCTAAAGACACAATTTTTGCATCTTTTAACAAGTTCTAGGGCTATTTTCACATCTGGCATAAACATACAACTTTTTAATACATCTAAACCACTGCAGAAAGAATATTATATCAAATTTTTCCAGTAATAAATTAGACTTAGTAATGTCACAATTAAAAAAGTTGTGGTAGATAGTACCACATATATTTCAAAATTTCCTCTACATCAAAGAGTCGTCCAAATGACAGTATAATAGTACTTCCCGGATTTATCGCTCAGGAATTAACCTCAAAACATCCGCTGCATAAACCGGAGATCATACCGAGAATTTTCGATCATACCACACTAGGATCTTAAGCCGAAAAATTTAATATCGTTAAGCAATCGACGAAACCCAACTGGCTCGAATCCACTCATCCAATTACCTCACCCCGATGCCGCTAATTCGATAATCTGTCCGAATCAGGCCCTGTACGTGTCACCGGTTATCGTAATGATGGTTTCCAGCAGTATCTTATTTCCGGTTCTGTCTGTCAGGCCATCGTCGTCGCTCACACCCATCGGCAATTAGAAACGAGGCGTCGCCGCCGTCGTCATCGACGTCGCATTTCCAACCACCGCCACCGCCGCCGCCGGTCATCAGGTGACGGTGTAATATAAACGAGCGTGTGTATTCCTGCCGCACCCCGAACCAACTTGGATGCCGCACCTTGTCGACTTCCGCCGCGGCCGCTCCTTTGCATTAACTAATAGTTGAGGGCTTGGCCCTTGGCGGTGGCTACCGGCGGGGGGCGGCGGGGACGCTTCGTCGATAAACAATTGATCAGACGCATAAATTTTATTGTGTTGAATTTGCAGTTATCTTTAATTATACGGAATAAAGGGGCGATTTCAACGTTGTTTAGCGACTGTGTAAACAAACAGTTTTTCCTTTTTCATATTCCTTGTTTTCAGCTAACATAAGACTACATAAGATTTGGTATAAAGTGAAATCTACAAGAATTTTCTAGAAAACACCTAGACTTCAATGTTGGTATCTAGGGGTTGTTAATGAATCAAAGTTTCCTTTATAGATGTCGTATGTTTTGATCTCCAAGAAAAAGTTATTGGTGCAATATAGTAGTAACTTCAAGAGGTCTACAGACATGCACATATCTCCAAAGGGTCTGGCTCTAAAATAGTCGAACGTGCATCAAAGCCTACCTCTAGCAACATGAAAGACACAATTTTTACATTTCAAACACTGCCTCAGCATATGTAAAGGAAGAATGAATCCAAATCACGGACACACCTACAGGAAATCCAGACTACAACTTAATTGGACACGTCTGGAACATCCAGATTAAAAAGTTTCTTTCGTCGGCAGTTACGGTAGAAGCGAAAAAAGAATTGTTACAAAGAAAGGACAATATTGATATAACAAGAATTTATATTCTACGTATAAATTGAGAATGTCATACCGTTTTAGCTGCAGTAATTTAAGGATGAGAGGTCTTAATGATCATTTTTACTTTGTTTGCTTCTTTCATTTTTTACTTAGAATTTACCAAAAAATGTGAGGTACATTATACACAGATAAAGAGACCTTCTTGCATTCACAAAAGTGATCTTAAATTTTTTGTTAATTAATAAGATTCAGCCTTTCCAGTTTCCCAGTTTACGGGATTCGTTTAAATTATTTTTTCGAAAATTTTTGGATCGTTTTTCGTTTAACATGGACTCCCTTTGTCAATAACTGAAACATCACTCCTACATTTCAATAAAAAATTTGTACATCGCAGAAATGTCAATCAGTCGTCAACGACAAATCGTTTTTTATTTCCTAGTACCTTAAATATATTGGACATTTTTTCAACTCTGAACATATCAAAGTAATGTTACGTTTGCCTACTTGATTTAGAAAAAGAAACACTAAATGTCAAGTTATTTGAACAATTGTCAAAATATTTAAAAAAAATACATAATACTCGATGCGTCGTGTATAAACACGACCAAAGAAATAGAACAAGCGATGTTTTAACTGAAGAAATGAAGTTAAAGATGTTATGCTATCGAGAAGAAAAGCCAATGCCTTCATTAACGTCATTCCAACTACCTTGGAAGTTAAAAAGTTTTCAGTTTTTAGCTCCACATTTTTGTTCGTCCACTACTACGTTTAATTGGTTTTGAACAATTTTATTTCTGTTACTAATCACATATTGCAGAAGTTTTATTTGAGATCTTTAAATTTAACTTTTGCTGGAAAAAATGACTGGTTTTACAAATATATGTATGAAACGGTTATGGTCATAACTGATGCTATGTTTTGTCGAGAGCGCTCTAGAAGCGTTCTATTCTTTTTCTTAGAAGTATTTCAGAAAAATACGGACAATACAACGTGAAAGTCGAAAGATTTACTCACTTGAGGGACTCGAAAAAAAATGTGTGTATTCACTGTAAGTATCAGACTTCCTGTCATTATGGACAAATCCACATCAAAACTCGACCAACGTAAAATTTATTAATCACAAATCAAAGGTCTATCTAACTTTTTATTATACAAAATAATCTTTAATTTTATTCATATTTTAATATTGATGTCAATCTTCAGTGCTGTTATTTGTTTTTACATTTCTATTAATAATATTACAATAAAACTTAATTGAAAATTTCAATTTTGGAGGTTCATTATTTTTTTTATTTTTGTGTTCTATTCGGTGACGTCCTATTTCAGGGATATGACTAAAATACATCTTCAAGATGAAATACCTTATTGTCATGCAACAACAAAACTGCGAATAAAATTTATTTGCAGCCACTTTGTTTTTTTTTTTCATTTTATTCTCATAAATATTGATCTTGAAATAATTTTAGCGTCGCAAATCTGCAAATAAATGAAACTTTGACTTCTGCAAAATTTAGATAAAAAATAACTTCAATAAGTTCAATATATTCTCAAAATGACTGACTACCTTTGTCGAATTGCAACAGTAATTTTTTTATCGCATTTATTCTATTCTTTATGAGCACACTACAGGTATAGAGTGATAATAAAGTAACACTTAAAATTCATAAAATCTTTAGGCAATAACAAAAGAGTGGATACTGTTAACAATAATGTTTTCTATTTCCTGATATGATTTTAATAACATGCATAAGAGTAGACAATTATCGACAAAATAATTTTCGAGACTACGGTAAATTACGTTACTTCTCTAAACGTTGGGTTAAATTATCAACTTAAGAAAAAATATACGATTCCATTAAAAACTTTTTGTTGACGTCATATACCGACGAAGCAACCAAATTAATGCGGCTCTTATTTGTCCCTAGAGATCGCCGTTGCCTCCTGTAATTATCTTACACATACATAAAGATTTTATTATTTTTTGCGCTACTTTATCACCGCTTTATAATACTTTTATTTTTCAGCTACTATCAGAACTTTGCATTTTTTTTTTTGCTACGCAAATAAAATTATATATGTTCATTTTTGGAGTTCTTTACAGATCCTCATTAAAATAAATTTATTATACTTTAATTAAAGCTTTCTAATGACTGATCTGACACTCAGTTGCTGTTTAAAACTATTTTGAGAAACATGAATGCGTCGCATTTTAAGTAATCTTTTAATCGATTAAAGCGTAACAGAAATCTCGGTTTAGAGTAGTTTTAAAATTTTAAGCCCACATATTAAAAGCAAACTACATGAAAGATCTGTAAAATATATCTACGATGTTTTACGTTTTACCCAGTTTAGTGCCACGCATAAAATCCTTGCGACGAGGAACCCCATCGTCGCCTTTCGCCCTTTCCCTTCTGCTTTATTTTGCACTCGAAACTATCACGTTACTTAAAAGCATTTCAATCATGTTAAATAAAAAGAGTCAATATAGATTAAACCCATAGACTGTTTACAATCTGCATTACTCACTTCTCCTTAGACTAGATTTTTTCCTTCCCGATTCATCCAATCCTCCCCCTTCTCCATCCATGACGCCATCGCACAGTTACACCCTTAATATACCCGTCGCGCTTAATTAAACACGACATTAAACAATTAAATCGAACAATTTATCCAATTTGAGCGCAAGCGAGACAGAGAAGAAAAATCTTCATCGAAAAAAACGACCAATTATCGAGCCCAAGCAGCAAAACAAAAGGATCCGAAATTGCCCAAACCATGTATTAAAAACGTAATAGGTCGATTACGCCATTGATAAATTATTACAAATTGGTCTATGTGGGACGGTACCGGTTATAAAAACCAACTCCGCTCCCGGAATCTTAAAACTATGTTGGTCCTAGTGCGGGAGGATGTCATGGTACCCTGACGCGATGGGCGAGAACGACGACGACAACAGCGAGCTGAGCGACGCAAGATTTCTGACCAAGGGCGCCTTCTTGCTCACCCCATCGCACGACCTCAGCTTGGACAAGGCAGCCAATATCTGCGACAAACTCAACTTCAGAGGGAGCTTCTCTCTGACGAAGACCGCAACGGGGATTCTGTTCAAGTTCTCGGACCCTGAGGACTTCCAGCAAGTGTTTCGAAAAGGGTTCCATAGGGTGACAGGTGGAAGGCTCTATAGAAAAGTCAACATCCCGTGCAGACCACAGAAGACGTTCTCCCTGCTGGTGCACGAAGTGCCGGTGGATCTACCGGAGGATGACATCAGAGCCAGTCTATACAGATATGCTTCTGTCGTGAGTCTCCATTTCTAGTTAAACTGTAATTTTGTTGTTTTCTATTTTAATACAGGTGGAAGTTACAAGAGTCTCTGCTAAACTTGATCAACCCCCCGGTACTCCGAATCCTATAAGGGTCACCGTGGCTTCTCTTGATGAGTACAACCAACTGCTACAGCAAGGACTGGATTTCTATGGAGCGACTTATTTTCCGACCGAACCTTTGAAGAAAGACCAACTACGTGGAAGTAAGGAGAAATTACTTCCGGTTTTTGACTCGGCTGGGTTTACGAGACTTCCGGCCCCGGCAAGTCGTCTGTTGAAACCCAGATCATGAACGGAACTTTGCACCTCGCCCCTACTATTGTATCATGCACTTTGAGCAAATAAACCATTTCTTATTGTTGGTACATTTGATTTTTAGTTACTAAAAATACTTTTGCTGGGTTTCAAAAGTTTTAAAGTTAGAACCAACGCTAAATCTAAAATCAAATGAATATATGACCATACAAAAATATGGATGGAAGTTTTCCGCTTCAAAAATATACGTTGTATTTGTCCTAACCTTAGCAAAATAAAACTTTAAATATGATTAATAGTGTCATGTCAAACGAATGTAAAAACCCTAAAAACTATATAAATATAAAACAAACAAAAATACTTAACATTTTTCTAGGTATAATACGATTTAAGAAAAATAGGACTACCGTATGACCCAAAAGCACAACTGAACTACGAATTTGTAAAATAACCTTGACTCAAATCTCAAGCGATGGTTTAATCACCATGGTCAAGTTGTGGGTAGAAACGTACAAAGCTCTAAAATTTCCTCTCTAAATGTTTCTAAGATTCGAAAGTAAAACTAAAAATATGAAAATGTTTGCCAGATATTTCAGAACTATACCTACTCTTTAAAATTTGTGCAAGAATCCTAATTCAAATTTGAAGATTTATCACAAAAAAATAGTAATATTATGTCATCTATTGATGAACTATTTGTAGCAACAATTTCGGAATCAATTTACAAATAACCAGATGTTTACGCAACAGTAATGGAATTATGCGGAGTAAGGTAATATATAAAACATATGTGGATACTTCTACACAAAAACTACTAAGCCTATCAAAAAATTGTTGTTTAATGACAATAAAAAATTGCTTAGATAATAATCAATCGTACATTAAAAACAATTAAAATTTCAGAAACTCACATACATATTAATAACCAGGATTCTTGCGGGTAAGGTGCCAAACCGCTACACATGAACTTCGCGTCGGGGCAATTCAGCTTCAGGTGGATAAATGTACTGCACAAAAAAGGATTACTTTTTCAATCAGATATCCAGTGGGGATCGCACTAGAAATTAGTAAGATATAAAGCGCAAACTCAGCCCCTCACGAGTCCTCGGCTTCTGTTAATAACGTACCGACATATATATTTGCAACAAATGCTCAAATGTGTACTCTTGACCAACGTAATTTTGAATGTGAAAAAGTCAAGCATATTTGTCATTTTATTATTAAATTAAACCCGATTTTTGTTTTTAGCAAACTCGAGAAAACGATTCATTTGTCAATTGCTAGGAGATAGCTTAATCTCTGATTATAATTGTAGACGGATATAATTAATTGACAAAAGACGATTTTCAATTCATATTTCATTGAAACTTTTTTACCTAGACTGATTAATTAAATTTAGTGTTTTTTTTTACAAAATACGTATTAAAACAAAAAGGCAAAATACAAATCCAACCACATCTCAATTGGGATGATTTTTTTGTTATTCGCCGAGAACCACAAAATACTCATTTCTTTACAAGAAATTAGAAACATGTTTTTGAGTATCGTTTTGTTCAAAGAATATTACGTATATTAAGAGAAAAAGGCAAAATATAAACCCCGCCCACCCACCCCATCTCAATTGTGATGATTTTCTTTATTCTTAGTAAAACAAGTTTAAAATGGTAAATTTTTGTAACGAAATATGGATTTTGTAATTAGGCTCCGCCCCTAGGTCTGGCAACGAATGAAAATTTCATTACTATTTATATCAAGGCAGGTACGGGTGGGGTTTAACTTTTGGCTTTAATTTTTTCTTAATATGCATATAATTTTTTACTAACACGTACTCAAAAACATGTCTTACATGGTAATTTCTTGTAGAGAAATAATAAGGATTTTGCAATTAAATTCCGCTCCTTTAGATATCGACGATGAAAAAAAAAACATCACAATTGAGATAGGGAGGGTGGGCGGGCTTTACATTTTGCTTTTTTTCTTAATATACGTAGTCGTCTTTTCAGAACAAGAAACTTAAAACATGTTTCCAATGGTAAATTCTTGTAGACAAATGTGGATCTTGCAATTAAGCCCCGCCCCTCGATCTGACAACGAATGAAAAATTCATCACAATTGAGAATTGAGATCGGGGCGGTATGGGTGGGGCCTAATCTTTGGCTTTATTCTTTTCTTAATATACATAGTTTTCTTTGAACAACACGATACTCAAAAACATGTTTTTAATTTGTCTTCGTGAAATAAGGATTTTGCCGTTAAACTCCGCCCCCTTGGCTCACGACGAATAAAAAAAAATCATCACAATTGAGATAGGGTGGTGGGCGGAGCTACATTTTGCCTTTTTTCTTAATATGTATAGACTTATTTCGACAATACGAAATATGTCTAAAATGGTAAATTTTTGTACTCAAACTTTTCAATTAAATCCTCCACTTTTCTTCTATAACCCCTTTAAACATGGCAAAAGTTGAAAATCAAAGTTACTATCAACGGCAAAAATAAAAAAAATTATAAATCCCACTTAAGTCTGTGAGAGTGCATAAGGCATTATGTATTTCATCTGTGGTCTGTTGGTCATTTGATTAAACCATTAATCTTCGAAACTACTGAGAATGATTCTTAGGAATATTGTGTATATGGTAAAATGTTAACTAAAGTTTGCCTGATCATTCCTACCAACAATGTCTCTAAAAAAATTTTGCAAAATAGATGGTGTTTAAATTTTATAACATAACATACTTATGTGCCTGTGGTTATGAATCCGCCTTCTTTTTTACCATGGGAAATCGCTAATCAAAATTTATTTATCTCCTCCAAAAACTTGATGACGTCATCTCAATAAATACAAAATATGAGTCTTAACTTGTGATTTATTAGTTTTTACAATTTTTATATAGGGTGACAAAAATTAATGATTGAAAAATAATATTGTCGTTATTAATACTAAACTATAGTACATATGTATAGCATGTTTTTTTAACTGTATTTAAGAAGTTGAATTGGTTTGATTGTACCTCAGAAGCATTGAAATTTTTGTCTAAATTTGTAACTAGATCATTTTTTTAATCGCAAATAATTACCAGTATTATTTAAAAGACAAAAAAGATATTCATCTTTAAACCCGAACTGATTTGACAATGGATGAATAAAAATTGAGGTTATTAAAAATGTTTAAATGTTTATCCTTATTACCAATCAAAAAACTATATATACTACTGCTGGTGGTACAGTAAATTTTCACTTGAAAGAAAAATCCACCGTATATTTTCTACAGGATGTAAAAAGACGTTGGAAATTGCATTATACGACCCAAAGCACGACTATACGATGAAATATATAAAGCAACTTTAATTTAAACCTTAAATAAAAATACTTCATCCATTTCCGCAAGTGGTAGAACAGTGCGATATAATGGATTTTTTCGCAAGAAGCACTAAATGTACAAAGCGACATGGCATTTATTATTACAATAAAATTATATATTGACATTTACAAATGACAAAGATGCACTTATTTTTTATAACAATTTTAAAACATAAAGGAAAAAATCGAACAAAAAAATGTTGCATGACCCTAAAGCATTAATAAACCGCAGTTTAGGCTGCTATCCATGAACACACTTTTTTCAAAATTTCCTGGAATAGAGTAACACGAAATCGATAGCTACAAACATGTCAACTTTTATTGTTAACCCCTCGAAGTCGGACCAAATGTTTCTATTCAAACTACAATTTAACATTTTAATTGGATTAGAATAAATAAAAAAAATATAGTTCTAAACGAAATACTCCATTTGGAACGAAATTAAAATGAACTTTTTCGCCACTTTGTAGAACTGAAAGAATTTCTTTTTTTACAAATTTGGGGGATTTTTTATAAGATACATGGCACGAAATTCAAATATTAAATATGTGTATATTTTGTTTCTAAGTTTACATAGAACATGTTTACATTTTTCAATATGACATCAAGGATGGAATAATTGCTAAAATCGGGCTGTAAGAGCGCTGTGGTCTGAATTTAAATTTTGGGGGTGATATCTGTGCAGACAGATTCTTTTTTTTAAGACTTGTGAAGTTTCTCTTATGTAAGTTAATTTTGTATATGACATTTGCAGATTCCGCGATACCCGTTTTATCTTTAAGCTTGCAAATATAATATTTGTGTCGAGGTTGGTGTGTTGTTGTCGGTTTGTCACTTTAAAATATTAAGTTCTATTTTTTTAAATTGGTTTGGAATTTCCATCAAACATCATAAAAGCTGAAGAGCTTATGAAATCAATTTTTATTGAAATATATATTTTATTATTATTCTTCATAATAACCCGTCATATTTTATTTTAAATTTTTACCCCTGAAGTTATTATTCATAGAAAAATTGGTATTACCATTGAAACTACAACAGCGTTATTAAAAATATTCAAATTTTTTTCCTAAAATATCTATAACATACGCACAAAAATTAAATGCTAAAACGTTGTATTTACAGTTCGATCATACTGAAAAACGATGAATTGTACTATGCTACAACACCTTAGCGTTTTTTTCATATTGGTTACCTCATCCACAAATGCTATTATATTTCATATGGAATGCTGTAAAATTGTAGATACAACTGCTACATTTCCGTAATCCAATAAATGAAGTACTGAAAGTAGAAAATACCAAGGTGATCAAAATTTTCAATAAATTCTTAACATATTGAACAGCAAGTAAACGGTACAGAAATTGAAACATTTATTCTAGTTTATGTTTTATAACAAGTGCCAGGTGTGTACTATTGACTATTCGATGTTAACAATTGGGATTATAAGGTTTTTTTTATCGGTGGAAAATGAAATTTGCAATTTACCCTCTGAGGTTAACTGTGCTTTTGTTATTTCTACGTATAAAGAGTTTAAAACTTTTATGCGTTCTTTTATCACCACACTACAGTAACTTGGCTTACAGTACAACAATAGTCATCTCACACACTTATGGTTTTGTGGTAAAGAAATTTTCAGTTCATATTTACTAAAGAAAGCAAAAGTAGTCTAATTTAAAAATAAAAAATGTATCCTTGCCGGTGAAATAAAAAATGCACGACCAATTTTATAACGCATAAGGTGTGTGTATAAGTCAATTTTTTTTTGAGGAATCTGTGTC